TGGACAGTACCGTGAATCGCTCTCGCTCCGCATGCCGTTTTAACGATTTCAGCACGGACAGCAGCGGGTGCCGGGTGGTTGAAACGGCCTGCGAAAACAGGAGGGAGACGACTAGAACCAGTCAGCTGTGAATGATATGTTGAAGTGAAGATCGTCACCCGAAGAGGTCGGCCTATTCGGCGACCGCCCGCCGGCCAGCGGATGCTCGGCGCGGAGTTCCGCTGGATCATGAGTGGACCGTTGGCCGTTTTGAGTCATGTGGACGCGCCAGAAGATAATTCTATGAAACCATTCTGGTTTTTGAGCAGAGGAAATAGGTCTCGAACGGCCCAACCTCGTCGAGGTAAGTGCGGCGCACTTCTTGGCGGAAAAAGTATGGGGGATGAGATGTTTGTAGACGACGATGGTTGCGATTGCAATTTACTACGGAGTCCCTCGTCGTCCGGCATGTCGGGGTCCGACTTCAGCATGGACGAAAGCCGCAGCGGGAGGGTGATTTAAAGATGATTATTAGAATGTAAAAGCTGGAAGGCGTTTGGTTTTTGTCACTCGCGCCGGATGATACGTTCGCGCCTACTCGAAGGTTTTGGTGATGAGCAGGGTGAGACAGGCCATTCCACATAGAGGGGTCGGTTTGGCGGCCCATTTCTGGGCACTCGTCGAGGTTTAGTGAGGTAGTCGCGCCAGTGGCCCTTGAGCACCTCATCGGGCACGAAGTTGGCGGAGATGCAGTCCCAGCCCCGCCGGGCGGCGAGGCGGATGCTGCCGGAGCCCCGGCTCATCGCCGGGATCATCACCGGCGGATGCGGGGCTGCTGGTAGGGCTTGCCCATTCCACCGGACACCGATGTCGCAAGCACAGTTGTCCCTTGATGATAGATATCAGTCACACAGTAAGTGAGTTGGAATAAATTGTAGGGCGGGTAACCGATGGGAAAAGATGATGTGCCCGGTCGGATCAGTCGATCGATTGGTTCGACCAGCATTATCCATGCGGTTCGAGTCGGTTGATCTTGAACATCTCGAAGTCGGGCGGCGTGGCGCCCGGCCCGATCCCCATGAGGAAGCGGCCCTCGGAGATATGGTCGAACTGCGCCGCCTGGCCGGCCACGATGGCCGGATGCTGATAAGGCAGGCAGAGGACGCCTGAGCCGAACTTGATCCGCTCCGTCTGGGGCACCAGCGCGGCGAACAGCATGAGCGGCGACTGAATCGGCTCCGAGGGAAGCGCGAAATGCTCGCCGAGCCAGACCTCGTCGAAGCGACCGCGTCGGCGCACTTGATGATCTCGAAGTCTTCCTTCAGGAGCGTGTGATAGCCCCGCCGAAAATCCTGGATCGGGTGCATGAACATGCCGAGCTTCATCGCGCATCTCCTGGCGGCGTTGCGTCTTGTAGGACGCATTATGGTGAGGCGGCGGACGCGCGTCCAATCGGCGCAGGGCGGGGAAGAGCTCTCCTCACCACAAACACGGATAGGCGCTGAGCGACATACGCGCCGCCTATCGGCCTTCCCAGAGCCTAAGCTCCTCCTCCGGCAGCGGATCGAGGAAATCGTCGGGAATGACGATTTTGCCCTTGAGCCGATCTGGGCGCCGCTCCTTCCGGGGCTTGCAGGCGATAAGCTGCGCGACCGGCTTGCCTCGGCGGGTGATCGTGACCTCCTCCCCGGCCTCGACTCGCGCCAGCAGTCGGGAGAGCTGGGTCTTCGCTTGACTGACATTCACAACGACCATGGCCGGACAGGCCTCCATTAGTCGTCGGGGCTGCGACTCAACGATCTTCATCCCGAGCCGAGGCAGGACAACTGTCTCAGCCCGCTCCACGTCTTCGGGAAAATCGATCTCGATCCAGGGCAGGCCGGTCACGTCCTCGAAGCCGAAGGGCGGGCTCGCGGCGCGGAGGACGGCGGCGATCGCGTCCTCCATGGGGCGCTCGGAGCCGCCGTCGTCGATCATCTGCCCGGCTGTTTCGACCAGCGCTTTCGCCATCCCCTCGCTGAGGCGGAAGAAGCCCACCGATTCGCCGTAGGCCTCAACCGCAGGGTCGATGGTCTTGCCGAAGTCGGTGGGCACGCCGTCCACGACGCCGACCTTGACGGGCTCATCGCCCGGTTCGTAGGCGCGATCGACCAGCAGGCAATCGGCGTGGCGTGTCTCAACCAAAGGCGCAAGCACGCGGCGGTCGTAGAGTACGTCCCCAACCATCAGGAGCACCGGTCCGCCCGCCGTGAGCGCCTCGCGCACCGACCAGAGCGTCAGGATGCTGCCCTGCTCGTAGTCGGGGGGTTGTAGACGGTGGAGACCTCCGTCTGCCCGAGCGACGTCAACGCACGCTCGATGGTGAGGGCCTCGTAGCCGATGCCAATCGCCACGTCGCGAACGCCGAGCGCGGCGAGAATAGCGAGGTGGCGTTCCAGCAGGGTGCGGCCGCCGAAGCGCAGCAGCACCTTGGGTTCCTCGATTGCCAGGCGCCGGCCGACGCCGGCGGCAAGCATGACGGCGCGCATGGCCAAACGTCCGGCGTTGTCACAACCTCGTTTCGGGCTATATGACGCCCCATGGTCGAACACAAGATGGGCACAAGCGACGGTAGAGGCGACGAGAACGCCGAACCCCAGCCAACAAAGCCGCGCAAGGCTTGGGACCAGCGGCTCGCCGGCTGGACGGTGCGGCCGCTGGTACACACTCCGGTCACGCCGAACCACATCACCACGGTCAGGCTTATCCTCGGGCTCGCGGCCTGCGGCCTCTTCGCCACCGGCACGCGGCCGGAGATCCTGTACGCCGCAGGGCTCTTCATGCTGTCCAACTTCGTCGATCACATGGACGGCGAGCTGGCCAGGCTTTCCGGCAAGTCCAGCCGATTCGGGTATCACTACGATAACTACAGCGATGCCGTCATCCATGTGGCGCTCTTCCTCTGCATCGGAATCGGCCTGCAAGAGAGTTGGATCGGCGGCTGGGCGCCTTATCTCGGCCTGATCGCCGGGTTTCGGTCTCGACGCTGTTTCTCATGTTCTGGCGGATCGAGCAGCGCGCCGGCGAGCGCCAGGCGCGGCAGCCGATGTTCAAGGGGTTCCACCTGGAGGACACGATGTACTTCATCGGCCCCATCACCTGGGGCGGCGGCCTGATAATACTGCTGCTGGCCGGTGTCGGGCTGACTCCGCTCTATGTGATCTGGCTCGCCTGGCGCGAGCGACGCCTCCTGTTCGGCAAGTTGCCGGAGACTGCGCCATGACAACGCTGGTGACAGGTGCCACCGGATTTCTCGGCTCGGCCGTCGCCCGCAGGTTGCTCGACGCCGGCCATGCGGTGCGCGTGTTGACGCGGCCCGGCGCCGATACGCGCAACATCGACGGCCTCGATGTGGAACGCGCAACCGGCGACCTGACCGACCGCCCCTCGTTGGAGAAGGCTGCGCGCGGCTGCGACACGCTCTTTCACGTGGCGGCCGACTACCGGCTCTGGATTCCCGATCCGCCGACGGTCTACCGCACCAACGTGGATGGCTCCCGCGACCTGCTGCGCGCCGCCGCATCTGCGGGAGCCACACGCATCGTCTACACGTCGAGCGTCGCCACGTTGGGCCTCAACGCCGACCACTCACCCGCCGACGAGGAGACCCCGGTAACCGAGGCCGCCATGATCGGCCATTACAAGCGCTCGAAGTTCCTGGCGGAGGAGGCGGTGCGTACGCTCATCCGCGACGAAGGGGTGCCGGCGGTCATCGTCAACCCCTCCGCGCCCATCGGCCCGCGCGACATCAAACCGACGCCGACCGGGCGAATCATCGTCGATTTCGCGACCGGGCGCATGCCGGCCTATGTCGATACCGGCCTCAACGTGGTCCATGTCGACGACTGTGCCGCCGGCCATCTGCAGGCGCTGGAGCTTGGCGCGGTCGGAGAGCGCTACATTCTCGGCGGCGAGGACATGACCTTGCGCGAAATCCTCGAATGCCTGGCGCGGCTCACGGGGCGCCGGGCCCCGCGAATCCGGCTCTCCCACCGCCTGCTCGTGCCGGTGGCCGCCGCCGGCGAAACCTGGGCGCGTGTCGTGGGCGGCGAGCCCAGACTCACCCGCGACAGCCTGCGCATGGCGCGCAAGATGATGTTCTTCTCCTCCGCCAAGGCCGAGCGCGAACTCGGCTACACGACGCGCCCCGCAAGCCAAGCGCTGGCCGATGCGCTGAGCTGGTTTAAGGCCAACGGCTACGTGTGAACGGCCCAGGCTTGAATGCCGAAACGCCGATCGCCGGGATTGATCCTTGTCGCGCTTCGGACGATGGCGCTAGAACGGGCGCCATCGCCCTCATGGGCGGCGTGCGACTGTGAACTTTCGAACTGACGGGATAGGGGAATGGAATACGGCTTCAACGTACCGAACGGCGGGCCGCTGGCCGTGCCGGAGCACATCGGAACCATCGCCCAGCACGGCGAAAAGCTGGGCTACCGCATTCTCGCAATCCCGGACCACATCGTGGTGCCCAAGGGCATCGACTCGCCCTATCCCTATTCGCCCGACGGCACGCTGAACTTCCCCACTCTGCTTGCCGGCGAGTGCCTGGAGCCCATCGCGCTGATGGCCTACCTCGCCGGTATCACGCAGGAGATGCGGCTGCTCACCTCGGTGATGGTGGTTCCCTATCGCCAGCCGGTGCTGACCGCGAAGCTGCTCTCCACCATCGATCTGCTGTCGGGCGGACGCGTGATCGTCGGCGTCGGCGCCGGCTGGATGGCAGAAGAGTTCCCGCCCGTCGGCGCACCGCCGTTCGACGCCCGCGGCCGGGCGACCGACGAATACCTCCGCATCTACAAGGAGCTCTGGACCGCCGACGCGCCGAAGTATGAGGGGGAGTTCACCTCCTTCGACAACATCCTGTTCCACCCCAAGCCGGTGCAGAAGCCGCACCCGCCCATCTGGGTGGGCGGCGAGAGCAAGCCGGCCAAGCGCCGCACGGCGCGCTACGGCGATGCCTGGTTCCCGATCGGCTGCAACCCGCGCTTCCCGCTGGACACGCTGGGCCGCTTCGCCGCCTCCCTCGACGACCTTCGCGCCATGGCGGAGGCGGAGGGCCGCGACCCGGCCAGTCATCGACCTCGCGTTCTGGGCCGTCTGGTACGGCGCCGGCCAGGAGCCGATCATGACCGATACGGGCGAGCGGATGCTGCTCTCCGGCTCGGCCGACGACATCGCGAGCGACATCCAGGCGCTCCGCGAGCTCGGCTGCCGCCACCTGCTGCTTCAGTTCCTGCGCGCGACCATCGAGGAGACGCTGGACGCCATCACGGAGTTCGCCGAGGAGGTGCGCCCCAAGGGCCGACGGGTAAGTGCGGCCGCTTGACCTCGGCTGTGCGCGGTCTTAGCTAAGCAACGGCTCTGCTTACGCTCACAGCGATGGCAAAACGCCCGATCATCACCGCGCCCGACAAGCGGCTGAAGGCGCGCTCCGCGCATGTCGACGTCGTCGACGATGAGGTGCGCGCGCTCCTCGACGACATGCTGGAGACGATGTACGCCTCAGACGGCATCGGCCTCGCCGCCATCCAAGTCGGCGAGGCCAGGCGCTGCATCGTGACGACGTGCACATGGCGGACGAGCCGCCGGCACCGCTCAAGCTTGTCAATCCAGAGATCGTGTGGCGCTCGGACGAGCGCGTGAGCCGCGAGGAAGGCTGCCTCTCCTTCCCCGAACACTTTGCGGAAGTGGAGCGGCCGGCGTCGGTGACGGTGGCCTACCGGGACGAAACCGGGGCTCTCAGGAGCTGACGGCCGTCGGCACGCTCGCCGTCTGCCTCCAGCACGAGATCGACCATCTGGAGGGGGTGCTCTTCGTGGACTACCTGTCGCTGGTCAAGCGCAGCATCATCCTGCGCAAGTTGACCAAGGCGCGCCGCACCGCTGCCGGCGCCTGAGGTTTCCGTCGCGAGCCGGGCCCCGCCTGCGCGGGAGGTCATGAAGCCGCTCAGGCTGGTGTTCATGGGAACGCCGGCCTATGCGGTTCCTACTCTCGACGCGCTCTGCGCGAGCGGCCATTCCATCGCCGCTGTCTACACCCAGCCGCCGCGCGCGGCGGAGCGCGGCCGCAAGGTGCGGCCGACGCCGGTGGCGGTGCGCGCCGAGGCTGCGGGGTTTCCGGTCAGGACTCCGCCGAGCCTGAAGCGCGAGGAGGCGCAGACGGCGTTCGCGGCGCTGGGTGCGGACCTCGCGGTCACGGTCGCCTACGGCCTGATCCTGCCGCCGGCCGTGCTTGCCGCGCCGAGGCTCGGCTGCATCAATGCCCATGCTTCGCTGCTGCCGCGCTGGCGGGGCGCCGCGCCGATCCAGCGTGCGATCATGGCGGGCGATACGGAGACGGGCGTCACCATCATGCGAATGGACGAGGGCCTCGATACCGGCCCCATCCTAGCGGCGGAGGCGGTGCCCATCGGGCCTGAGACCACCGGCGGCGCGCTGCACGACATGCTTGCCGCGCTCTCCGCCCGGCTGGTCGTGGACGCAATCGACGCCCTTGCGGCGGGAACGCTCGCGGAGACGCCGCAGCCCAGCGGACGGCGCGACCTACGCGGCTAAGTTGGAGAAGCACGAGGCCGCCATCGACTGGCGCGCGCCGGCAGGGCACATCGAACGCAGGGTGCGCGCGCTCGCGCCGGCTCCCGGCGCCTGGTTCAGCCATGGCGGCGAGCGCATCAAGGTTCTGGCCGCGACGGAGGCGAGCCCGGCTGTGGAGGCGCCGCCGGGAACGGTCATCGACGAGGCACTCACCATTGCCTGCGGCGAAGACTCGGCACTGCGCCCGACACGCCTGCAGCGCGCCGGCAAGACGCCGATGGGGACGGACGCCTTCCTCCGGGGTCGGCCGATCGAGGCCGGCACGCAACTCCCATGCCCCGCTACAAGCTGACCCTCGAATACGACGGCACCGGCTTCGTCGGCTGGCAGTACCAGGGCGACGGGCGGTCGGTGCAGGAGGCGTTAGAGCGCGCGGTCGAGCGCTTCTGCGGCGAGCAGGTCAGGGTGCATGGCGCAGGCCGCACCGATTCCGGCGTTCACGCGCTCGGCCAATGCTGCCACCTGGACCTCGCCAAGCAGGCCGCGCCCGGTGTGCTGCGCGACGCGCTCAACGCGCATCTCCGGCCCGCGCCGGTCACCGTCCTCGACGCCGCGGAAGCGCCGCCTACCTTCGATGCGAGGCGCGATGCCACGGCGCGCGTCTACCTCTACCGGATCGTCAATCGCAAGGCGCCGCTCGCACTCGCGCACAAGCGCGCCTGGCACCTGCCCCGCCCGCTCGAATTCCATGCCATGGCCGAGGCCGCGCGTCTGCTGGAAGGCACTCACGACTTCACGACCTTTCGCGCCGCCCAGTGCCAGGCGGCCTCGCCGGTCCGTACCCTGCAGAGCCTCGCCGTCACCCGCATCGGAGAGGAGATCGCGATCCGTGCCTGGGCGCGGTCCTTCCTCCACCACCAGGTGCGCGCGATCGTGGGAACTCTGGTCGAGGTCGGCGAAGGCCGGCGGACGCCCGCCGATGTCGGTGCCGCGCTCGCTGCCCGCGACCGGCGCCTGAGCGGCCCGACGGCCCCGGCCTCGGGTCTCTATCTCGAAGCGGTAATCTATCGCCCGCCGCGCCGCTGATCGGCGTGGCTGTGGTACGCTTGGGCGAGCGCTATTTCTTGACCCCGAGCACGTCCCTGGTGCCCTGGATTCCAAGGCGGTAGATGCCTTCGGCGAACTCGATGCATTCCGCCTTGGTCTTGCCCTTCTTCGGCACGAAGCGGCTGGTCCATTCAACCGCACTGCGCCGCGACGTGATCGGCTTCACCTTGACCGTGGAGGTGTAATCGTTGAAGGGCGCCAAGTCGTTCGGGTCGGCGGTGATCGTATAGATCTGCACGCGCGCCGCCGTGTCGTACTTCAGCAGGGTCTCGTCGAGCGAGCCCTTCATCCCCTTGATCCTGAGCGTCCGCACCACGCCCTTCTTGTCGAGCGTGCTCCTCGTGATGGTGCCGGCCATGATCACGGGCAGATTGTTGAAGGCCCCGATCTCGCCGAAGACACGGTCAGCCGTCGCGCTGATCTCCTCGACGACCTTCGCTCGCGTGTAAGCCATTCCCAGTCCCTCCATCCGCTTCTTGTGGCGATTCCGAATGGTGGACGGAAAGCGCGGCAAGCGCAACGCGCGATGGGTCTACCCGCCGCCCCGCTGGAAGGAGATGTCGAGCCGGGCGAGGTGCCCGGCGGGATCGGCATAGCCGCTGTAGTGGAACCGCGCCGTGATAACCGGCAACGCGAGCAGGCCAATGCGGCGTTCGCGCTCGGACGAGAGCGTGATCTCCAGCGTACCCTGCCCCTCGCGAACCGTGATCGTGTCGCCGTCCTCGGCGATTCGGGCCTCCGGCAGCGCGCGCCGCAGCGTGCGCCGGAACTCGTGGCGCTTGATCGCCATCTCCTTCTCGACGGTCGAGCGTCTTGGTCTTCGTCTCGGGCACGGGTGCGGCTCGTGCTGGGGCGTGCGCCGGGGGCTCGCCGCCGGGTCGGCAGCTCAACCGCCGGCCACGGGCGGCCAGATCGCCAGCGTGTCGTTCTCGCCCAACGCTCGGGAGCCGCGCTCGCTCGGCTCCACGTAGACGCCGTTCACCAGCACGATGGAGCAGTACTGGCGGGGCAGGTTGAACTTGGCGAAGACGTCTTCCGGCGTCGTCCCTTCGGGAAGTTCGAGCTCGACCTGGTTGTCCACGGCGCCGGCGGGGAGATAGTCGCTCAAGAGCGCGTAGAGCTTGACGCTCACCTTCATGGCGTCTTCACGGCTGGCGTCGCCGCCATCGCCCCCGTCACCGCTGCCGTCGCCGTTCAAACCTGGCTGTGAGCGACGTAGGCCTCCATCACGCGGTGCGGGTTCTCCAGCAGCCTTCCCTTCCAGTCGGCGAGCGCCGTCTGGTTCTGGATCAGGCCGCGGATCACGCCGACATGATCGGTGAGCCCGATGCCGAGCGCGCCGACCAGTTGGTCGCCGTCGAACTCCAGCCGGAGGTACTTGTAGCCGTCCTCGTCCACGGCGACGCCGCTATCGCCGCCGGCAACGCCGTCCCAGCTGCCGAACGAGCTGGAAACCAGGCCCACCGTGGCGAGCACATTCATGTTGAGGCTGCCCTTGTAGTGGGCATGACGCCCCAGCATGTTGAGCGCCGCGATGCGGCCGTGCTCGGTCGCGGTCGGCTGAATCGCGTGCACCGAGTATTCGCCGGTGGAGAAATCGAGGCCCTGAGCCACGTCGCCGGCGGCGAACACGCCTTCCGCGCTCGTCTGCAGATGCTGATCGACGAGCACGCCGTGTTCGGTCTTGATCCCGCTCCCCTCCAGAAAGCCGATATTCGGCGCGACGCCGACGGCGAGCACGACCAGATGAGCCTGGAGCTTCTCGCCGCTGTCGAGCACCACGGCCTTGTCGCCGTCCGTGCCGGTCGCGGCCTCGATCGCGGCGACCCGCGTCGAGGTGAGCACCCGAATATTCTTGGTCGCGCACCAGCGTTCCAGCATGCCGCCTGCGGTCTCGTCCATCATGCGCGAGACCATGCGCTCTTCCATCTCCACCACGGTGAGCGTGCCGCAGCGCTTGGCGAGCGCCTCCAGGATGATGCAGCCGATGAAGCCGGCGCCGATGAGCACGACGTTGGCCTCGGCGTTCAGCAGCTCCGCGATCCCGCGGCAGTCCGCGAGAGTCCAGCAGTTGTGCACCCCGGGCAAATCGCGGCCCGGCACCGGCGGGCTCAGTGGCGTCGCGCCTGTGGCGATCAACAGGCGGTCGTAGGAGACCTTGTCGCCGCCGCTGAGGGTGAGCGTGCCGTCCGCTGGTGCCACGGATTCCGCCCGCCCCTGCCGATACTGGATGCCGAGCCCCTCATAGTGCCCGTCCGTCTTGCGCAGGTAGGTGCCGCTCGGCTCGATCATGCCTTCGAGGACATAGGGAATTGCCATCCGCGAATAGGGCGGCTCCGGCTCGTCGCCGATCAGGACGATGTCGGCGGCCCGGTCTCCCTTCCGCAAGGTTTCGGCAGCGACCACGCCGGCCGGGCCGGCACCCACGATCACATGCTGCATGTTGGCTCCCGCTTGGCTCTTTGCGCCGTTCCTGCGGCACGCGCACCTGCGCGGCCCGGCCCGGCTCGTTTCGTCTCGTTCATTCCCGCCACCCCCGATGCAAGCCGGGGGGCCGGCGCCCTTGTCGGTGCGCGCGGCCCCCCGCCGTCACGAGAATGACGAATGATACGGGTTAGAGCGCGAGGCGCTCCACCGTCTCGTTTCTGGGCACGCCGTCGTCGGTCCAGCCGCGCACCTCGTAGTATTCCGGCAGCATCTTGTCGAGGCCGTTGGTAAGACCTTCGGCCGGGCCGGTCTTCGCCGCGTCCTTCAAGAGGCGCGCAGGCAGGGTGTCGTCCTTGCCCGTGAAGCCCGCCGCATTGTTGTACTGCCGCTCCAGGTTCCAGATCCGCTCGCCGACTTCCAGCAGCCGCTCGGCGGTCCACTCGCCCTCGCAGGCCGCGTTGATCTGCGGCGCAATGTCGTCGAGCGACCACGCGAAGGTGGTGAACACGCAAAGCCCCGACGAATCAACCGCCGAGGTCGCGTCCTGGAACGCCTTCACCAAGCCGGCCTTGCCCTCGGTCACGTGCGGGTCGGTCTTCTCCGGCACGCCCAGAATCTCGGACGAGACGGTGTAGGCCCGCAGGTGGCAGGCGCCCCGGTTCGCCGTGGCGTAGGCCAGGCCCATGCCCTGGATGCCGCGCGAATCGTAGGCCGGGAACTCCTGGCCCTTGACCGACATCGAAAGCTCCGGCCTGCCGTACTTCTCGCAGAGCCGCTTGGAGCCGAGGCCGATCTCGGCACCGAAGCCCTCGCCCTTACCGGTGAGCTCGGCGAGATCGGTCAGCGCCTTGGCGGAGCCGAACTTGACCTCGAGACCGTCGGTCTGCTCGTCGCCGATGGCGCCCTCTTCATAGAGCTCCATCGCGGCGCCGACGGTGGCACCGAAGGAGATCGGGTCGAACCCCTGCTCGTTGCAGATGAAGTTGGCGAAGGTCAGAGCGTCGAGATCGTCCACACCGGTGGCAGCGCCCAGCGCCCAGGCCGCCTCGTATTCGAGGCCGCCGGAGGCGATCTGATACTGCGGCCGCTCGGCCACCGTGTAGTGGGTGCGCTCGACCGTGGAGATGCGCCCGCAGCCGATGGTGCAGCCGAAGCAGGCGGCGTTGGTCACCAGGTTGGGCTTGCCGTCGGCGCGCAGCTCGGCCATCGCCTCGGCCGAGATGTTCTTGGCGCCATCGAACTGCACGTCCCGATGGTTGTGGGTCGGCAGCGCGCCGACCTCGTTGATGACGTTCATCAGCACCTGGGTGCCGTAGGCCGGCAGGCCCTGGCCGGTGACGGGATTGTCCGCAAGGATCTTCTTGCCCTCGGACGTTGCCTGCATGAAGGCACCGGCATCTTCGACCTTGACGCCGAGGGTCCCGCGGATCGCCACCGCCTTGAGGTTCTTCGACCCCATCACCGTGCCGACGCCGGAGCGCCCGGCGGCGCGGTGCATGTCGTTCACCACACAGGCGTACTTGACGCCCTTCTCGCCGGCGATACCGATGGAGGCGACGCGGATCAGCGGGTCCTGATGCTTGGCCTTGATCCCCTCCTCGGTATCCCAGACCGACTTGCCCCAGAACTCGCTGGCGTCGATCAGCTGGATATTGTCGTTCTCCATCAGGAGGTAGACGGGGTTCGGCGCCCGGCCCTCGAAGATGATCATGTCGTAGCCGGCGTTCTTCATCTCGTTGCCGAAGAAGCCGCCGGAGTTCGAGCACGCAATCGCGCCGGTGAGCGCGCCCTTGGTCACGACCGAATAACGCCCCGCCGTCGACGCGCACGTGCCGGTCAACGGGCCGGTCGTCATGATCATCTTGTTGTCAGGCGAGAGGGGATCGACTCGCGGGTCGGTCTCCTCCACCAGATACTTGGTCGCAAGCCCGCGCTGGCCCAGGTACTTCTGGGCCCATCCATGTTCAACGGCTCGTTCTTGCAGGTGCCCTCGGTGAGGTTCACCCGCAGAATGTTCCTTGCCCACGCCATGACAAACCCTCCCTAAGCCTCGGCCTGCGCGCCGGCGTCGGTCTTGGCCGCCCACTGGCGCATTCTGTCGAGGCCGGTCCAGTTCGCGTCCACATAGGTGATCGCCGCCGTCGGGCAGGCCTTGGCGCACTCAGGGTCGCCGCCGCAGAGATCGCACTTGATCACCTTGCCGGTGGACGCGTTGTAGTTCACGGTCCCGAAGGGGCAGGCGATGGTACAGACCTTGCAGCCCACGCAGAGCGAATCGGAGACCACCTTGGCGCCGGTCGCGGCGTCGAGCGTGATCGCATCGACCGGGCAGGCCTGCATGCACCACGCCTCGTCGCACTGGGTGCAGGTGTAGGGGACCATCCGCCCCTCGTCGTGGAAGTTGAACACCTTGATGCGGGACTTGGCGGGGTTGAACACCCCTTCGTTCACATGGGAACACGCCAGCTCGCACTGCAGGCAGCCGGTACATTTGTCCGGGTCGATATGAAGCGATTTCTGCACGTTCGTAACCTCCGCCGCGCCCCTCAGGCGCTCACTGCCACTCTACACCACTTGAAGCCCGCCTTGCACCGGGCAATCTGCGCCTTCACCCCCTAGTCCGCCATCGCCTCGGCGCCTGCGGCGATGGCCTTCACGATGTTGTGGTAGCCGGTACAGCGGCAGAAATTGCCTCTCCAGATAGGCGCGAATCTCCGCCTCGCTCGGCTTCCCGTTCCGCTTTACCAGGTCGAGCGCGCTCATCACCATGCCGGGCGTGCAGAAGCCGCATTGCAGCGCATGGTGCTCTTTGAACGCCGCCTGCATGGGATGGAGCGTGTCGCCGTCGGCAACGCCCTCGATGGTCAGCACGTCCGCGCCGTCCGCCTGGACCGCGAGCATCGTGCAGGCCTTCACGCATTGGCCGTCGACATGCACGTTGCACGCGCCGCACTGGCTCGTGTCGCAACCGACATGGGTGCCGGTGAGGCCGAGATCGTAGCGCAGAAACTCGACGAGCAGGGTGCGGGTCGACACCTCGCGCGCCACCTGCTCGCCGTTGACCGTCATCTTGACCTGCGCTTGGGCCACGCTGCCCCTCCCCGACCCGTTGGTCACGTTTCGCGGAGAGAATAACCGCGACCGGCATGGCGGACAAAGCGTTTGTGCCGCGCTCCTGGGCGGCCGCCGGGCGGCCGGACCTCGAAAGAAACCGCCCGCCCCGATGTCCGGGCGTCGACCGGCCGCGCTCAGGCGGCGACGAATCTGCGAATTGCGACGTCTTCCCGGTTTCGCTGAGCGTGCCAGAGATCGTATTGCATCTGCTGCTGCAACCAGCTCTCCGGGCTGCCGCCGAAGGCTTGGGACAGTCGGATCGCCATCTCGGGAGAAATCCCGATACGGCCGTTGAGCAGCATGGACAGCGTGTTGCGCGACACCGCGAGACCCTTGGCTGCCTCGGTCACCGTCAGTCCGAGGGGTTCGAGGCATTGGCGCCTAATGAAGGCGCCGGGGTGGGGCGGGTTGTGCACCAGCATCGCGGGACCCCTCTAGTGGTAGTCGAGATAGTCGACATCGACGGCGTGGCCGTCCTGGAAGCGGAAGATCACGCGCCAGTTTGCGCGCACCGTGACGGACCAGAATCCGGCATAGTCTCCCCTTAGCCGGTGAAGCCGGAAGCCGGGCAGATCCATGTCCTCCGGCGCGGCGGAGGCGTTTAGGCGCACCAGGATGTCCCGTACGGTCTCCCGATGCTCGGCGTGGATGCGCCGCTCCTCTCCGCGTTCTGCGAAGCGCCGAAGCGCGCGGCTTCTGAAGCTCCGTATCATGGATGGCCGTAATATGCACTATGACGATTGTCAACGCGCACGGGTTCGGATGTAGCCTCGCCCCCGCCCCGCCGGTATAGGATGACGGCCACGCGGGAGAAAGGGAGCGGGGCTTAGCAATGAACATCGCAGCGCTGTTGGCGAAGACGGCACGGACCCTGCCCGAACGGCCGGCGGTGTCCCTCGGCAGTGCGGTTGCCACGCGCTACGGCGAGCTCGACCGGCGCGCCGGCGCGATCGCGGGCGCGCTCCGGGCCGATCACGGGCTCGCGCCCGGCGATCGGGTGGCCATCGTCATGGCGAACCGGCCGGACTACCTGGAGGCGCTGTTCGGCATCTGGTACGCGGGCCTCGTCGCGGTCCCCGTCAATGCCAAGCTGCACCCGCGCGAGGTCGCCTACATCCTCGGCAATTCGGGATCCCGGCTCTGCATCACCGACGAGGGCCACGCGGAGGCATCGAGAGCGTCCGCGCTGACGCGCCGGGGCTCGCGCCGCCGCTCGTCGCGGGTTCGGACGATTACCGCGCAATGCTCGACCACGATCCGGCGGACCCCGCGGCGGCTGGGCCGGACGACCCCGCCTGGCTCTTCTACACCAGCGGCACCACCGGTCGACCCAAGGGCGCCACCATCACGCATCGCAATCTGCTGGTGATGACCCTGAGCTATTTCGCCGACCTCAACCGGGTCACGGCCGCCGATTGCGTGCTCCACGCGGCACCGCTCTCCCACGGCTCGGGCCTCTACGCGCTCCCCTTCATCGCCAAGGGCGCCAACAACGTGATCCCCGAGAGCGGCGGCTTCGAGCCGGCGGAGGTGCTGAGCCTGATCGAATGCCACCCCGGGCTCAGCATGTTCGCAGCCCCCACCATGGTGGTGCGGCTGCTGGATAGCCCGGCGCTGGCAGCAACGCCGACACGACCAACCTCGACCTCATCATCTATGGCGGCGGCCCGATGTACGTCGCCGACGTGGAGCGCGCGCTCGCCGCCTTCGGCCCCAAGCTCGCCCAGATCTACGGCCAGGGCGAGGCCCCGATGACCATCACCGCGCTGTCCCGCGCCTATCATGCCGCGAGCGCCCACCCCCGCTTCCGCGAACGCTTGGGCTCGGCCGGGATCGCGCGGACCGACGTCGAGGTGCGCGTCGTGGGCGAAGACGACCGCCCGCTGCCGGCGGGCGAGAGCGGCGAAATCATCGTGCGCGGAGACGTGGTGATGCCGGGCTACTGGGAGAACCCCGAGGCCACCGCGAGCGCGCTCAAGGGCGGCTGGTTGCACACCGGCGATGTCGGCGCTTCGACGAGGACGGCTTCCTCACCCTGCTCGACCGCGCCAAGGACATGATCATCTCCGGCGGCACCAACATCTATCCGCGCGAGATCGAAGAGGTCCTGCTGCGCGACGAGGCTGTGCGCGAGGCCGCGGTCGTCGGCCGCGCGCACGCAGAGTGGGGGGAAGAGGTGGTCGCCTTCGTCGTGCCCCACGACGGGCACAGCGTCACCGGCGAGCGGCTCGACCGGCTCTGCCTGGAGAGCATCGCCCGCTTCAAGCGGCCGAGGGACTACCGCATCGTGGACGGCCTGCCCAAGAACAACTACGGCAAGGTGCTGAAGCGCACCCTCCGCGAGGAACTGGAGGCGGAGGGCTGAGCACAATTCGTCAAGTTATGTTATGAAACAATGAACCGCTTATGCACATGGCTCCGGTCGCGAGAGTTTGCCACCAGATGTTGAGGTTGGGGTTAGGGCGGGGAACGGGTTAGAATGTTCCTTATACGTTCCTGCCGACGAGCACCACATGAAACAGGTCCCCGACAGCCTCCTCGCCTTCCAGCACATGTTCCCGGACGATGACGCCTGCGCCGCCTGGCTGATCGAAATGCGCTGGCCGGACGGCTTCGTCTGTCCCGCGTGCGGCCATGAAAGGGATGGGGCGCTGCGCAGAAAAGCACACACCTTCGAGTGCGCCGGCTGCCGCCGGCAGACCTCGGTGACGGCCGGGACGATCCTGCACGCCAGCAAGCTGCCGCTCACCGTCTGGTTCTGGGCCGCCTACCTGATGGCGACCCACTCCAACGGCATCTCTGCCCTGCAGCTCCAGAAACAGCTCGGGTATCGGCTCTTACCGCAGCGCTTGGCTGCTCGCCACAAGCTGCGCGCCAGCATGGTCGACCCCCGAGCGCAACCCGTTGTCGGCCTGGTGGAAATCGACGAGGCCAGCCTTCCCATTCCGGACCAAAGACGATCCTCCCACCGGAGGGCAAGGACGCAGCCACGACGGCAAGATGCTCATCGTCGGCGCCATCGAACTCGGGGACGAAACATCCCAGGCGCCTGCGGCTGGCCGAAATCTCCTCCTACGGCGCCGCCGACCTCGGACACTTCGTCGAAACCGCCGCCGATCCCGACGCCATCGCGAAACCGACGGCTGGTCCGGCTACGCTGCGGTCCCCGCCGATCGCCACAATGTCCATGTCGTCGGGAAGACCGCCGCTCACCTCGTCCTGCCGTGGATCCACCAAGTCTTCTCCAACCTCAAAGGAATGGGCGCGAGGCGTCTACCACGGGCTGCGTCGCAACATCTGCAGGCCTATCTCGATGAGTTCGTCTTCGCTTCAACCGCCGCAAACCCGCCACGCTGCTTTCCGCTCGCTCTTTCCGCCTCGCCACCAATGCAGAACCCCTTACCTACAGGCATGTTGATCGAACC